AGAACAATAAAAGAAGGCTCACTGAATAATGCAAATGAAATCATGGAAGAAAGGTTATTTTGTCTGCACACAGAATTGAGGGGGAAGGAAATAAAATTGAAAAGAAACATGTCTTTGGAGAAGGGACTTAAAACCAGAATACAATGGAAAGAACATGAGAATCATTTCAAATTGTCACCTCACTCCTAAATAATTATTGGAATTATCTGACCTCTACATTACTAATTCTGCAATTTACTAAAACTAACAGGCTTTATGACACTCCCTTTCAAATGACTTGTAATTAAAAGAGATTAGGCCAAAATTTTTAGAAAAACTGTATTAAAGTCACTTACAGATCCAATTCATTCTAATGGACACATAAACCTTTCCAAAAATACCCCAACAAGTGCAAGTCAACCTTGGCTTGAATGAAAAGAGAGGATTAAGGGACTCAGTATCTCCCAGGAAAGCTAATTCAAGTTTCAGGTTGTTCTACAACGAAAATTTTCTCATACATTTACTAAAATGGGATTCAAAATGGTCTCCTCCACATAATAAAATGACAGTCCTGTCATTTTTATATGAATTACTTAGTTACTAAGTTCTGATAATTAAAATTTATTTCTGCTACTGTGTACTTGACATTGACCAGACATTCATTATATCTGGATCTTGATTTCTTCATTTAGAATTTGTCCTGTGTCTCTTCTAATACTGACAGTTCCTTTCTGGCTGCTTCTTGGTCATGAACTCAATGAATTATCATTTTGTTTTCACTTTCAGAATGAGATATTTGGGGCTTTTATGAATAGAGGAATATCATTTTCTTATTCTGGTTTCTCTTACCTGTTCTAATTGTTATGGATATATTTATTTGAATGAGTGTATAAACTGAAATCTTAATCTTAGTGAGATGACAAATCCTTTTTAATAAGTTGGAACTTCCAATTTCCTTAATTAGAATACTAGAATCTTACAAGTCAGGAAAAACAGACATGATAGTCAATCCAAAATAGAATATCCCAAATATTTTGCTTTCTAGCTTCTGCTGAAACTTTCTAGTGAAAAGTGCTTAGTGTTGTATACATTGATCCTGTTCTATTGAAGAAACTGGCCTGCAGAAGGTATTCAAATGTTCCAAAATTGACTCCCCTGAAACCACTCATTGGTTCTGATTGTGCTTTTTATCATGGTGGAATGGAAATGCAACTTGATTCTTAGCAGCCCTGCAATCATTCCAATATAAAAACCATAGTACATCTCCTTCCCCACTCCTTCCCAAAGCTTTGTTTCTCCAAGCTACAAAGCTCACACTCCTTTGTTCTTTCCCACACCATTACTATCCAGGTTCTTAGGTATTAGGTGATTTTAGCTGGTTCATATCCTCTTTAAAATATTATACCTTGAGATGGAAAAAAATGTACAAAATGATGTAAAAATAAACTTTTGTAATAAAAAAAATTATACCAAGACTATATAAAACATTTCAATCAACACATTATTTTTGCACCTATATTGCCCAGTTCAATAAAACCAGGGAGTCGGTATACTTCAGCTAAGTTATTGCACAGTTCTCTTAATGCCAGAAAAGCATTCTGCTTGCTTTCATATCTCTGTCGTTAGAAATCAAACACACCACCAAGAGCCAGTCTTCTCTCTTCTGCAGTGATGTCATGGATTCCAATTAATCAGTCCTTAGTGCTACCATGAGCTAATACTAGGCTGAATAGCATGCAGTCCATTTTTACATTCTTAATCCTATGAGCAGAAATATTATCAAGAGTTCCACTCTGACAATCTGAAAAGTGAAGCCTGTCAGAAATAACATTAGGAAAAAATAGAGGAAAATTTATTTACTACATTTGGAATTATAGGAACAACGACTTCCCCAACTGGCTATTTTAAGATGGTTTTACTTCTTCAGAATCAGACCTATGTATGTCTTGCTTTAATAGATCATAATGAACATGGTTTTGTCAGATCTTCACCACCAAGTGAAACTGAGTTGAGGCAAAAGCCTGGGTAATTCAGACAAAATACCTTTTCAGCCTATGGAGTCTTTGATCAGAATTGAAGGCCAAAAATAAAAAGTGCTATCATGTTACATTAAGTTGAAGCTAAATTGTGTCCATCCTTCACTGTCAACACTAACCCCCTTGTATTAATAAAAAAAAAAAAAAGGAAAAGAAAACTAAGAACTTTGCTACTGAATTGTTTGCTACCAATTTCAGGTAATATTGTCTGATGCGAAAACCACGGCACTGAGTGGCTCCTGCCATGGGCCGGGGCCCTTCTCTGCCCACCTCACATAGCCCAAAAGGAGGCACAACCACAAAGGGAGGCCAGAGGGAGACAAAGGTGCACCTTCCATGTCTAATGCTAGTGACTAGCAGGCAATCATTAATCAAGCAATGATGCTAATGGTATTTACTAGTTACCTGCATTTTCAGCAAAAAGTTCATGCAATACGCATAACCTGTTCATCATAGACCTCTAGTAAGCTCCAGCCTCTCCTTGTGAACACAGAAGAAACTGAAATGTCTGCTGCCTTTGGGTTGGTGCTAGCATCTCATTTAATGTTTAAAAACTTCCCCCCCAAAACAGTACACTTTAAAGATTGTTCTATCTTTCTTTTAGTAGCTGTTCTTCCTGAGATCAGAAGAATTTGAGATTCCCCTTCCCCACCCCTTGTATAAGAATATCTATTTTCCCTCCCAGGTTTCTAGGAACATTCTTATTCCTAATCCCTCATTTTCTATAATTAAGTCTTTTATTTTATTGTAAAACATTTTCCAAAATCCTCTGCCTTAAAACACTGTTGTTATTTTCTAAATTGGGGAAAAGAGGCTGGGTTTGTTTTTAATGGCACATCTACATCATCTAAATGAGAGAAGTATTCATATATTGATTAAGGCAAAATGCCAACAAAGCTTCTTCATTTTCCAAAGAAAAAAGTCTCTTGGGGAAAGAAATTAACAACGAGTCAGAGGGAAGTTTGGGTCCTGCTCTGATTCTGAGGTAATTCTGATTTTCATCAGGGAATCCTTCCATCTTGCCAAGCCTCAATTTCCCCATCTATGAAGGGAAAAATTAATTCTTGTCATCTGTGCCCACAAGATGGTTGACTGATAAAGAGCCCTTTGGAAAATCCAGCTACACAATGCTTGTGTTTATAAAGCAATAGCTTTACCTCCTAAATGGTACATAGACAAAGGTCTCGTTCTGGCAATTATCTCTGCTTAAATTAATTCCCCCAAGACTTCTGTAAATAATAATAAAAATAATGATGGTGGTGGTGATGTACTGCTATATCCACAGAATCATAGAACATGGACCTAGAAGGATCTTTAGGATTTATCATATTACAGAAATAAGGAATTTAAAAGAATAAATGTGATGAAACTCACACCACGGTGTTCTCTTAATTATTAAACATCATTAGAAATATCTAGGACAGGACGCCACTGAGCCAAGTTCACTCTTCTCCAGCCCTCCTGGTCTCACTTAAATGTATGCCAGAGGTAAAGGAAGATGTAAGCTGAGGGTGAGGATGGCCTCTGGCAGGCTGCTATATTTGGAAATTGTACTATAGGTATGTAGTGCCGTCACAATTCGTTAGCATAATTTCAAACTACAAATATCAAAAGATCGCCGTACCTTCAGCATTTGAGTTAAAAAAAAAAAAAACACCATTTGCGGAGGTATTTCCATGTAGATGGAACTCAAGATTATTAAACGTTTAAAATCAAAACTCAGGGAGGGAAGTGGGATCTGGTGAAAGGTCGTTAGCCCGGTTTATTCCCACCAAGAACAGGAAACTGCTGGGCGCGTAGAGGAAGGGACGTGCATTGGAGGACGCGGTTAACAAACGATTCCCGAGACTCGAGTTAGTTCCCAGTTTTGCCCGAAGAGCCCTTTATTTTCTATTGAGTCTGCAAACCTAGGAATAGAATAGGAGACCTCCCAGGAGAAAGGGAGGAGATAGCGCAGGGTCACACTCCTGATCCACCTCAACAATCCCCAAACAGGTGCACGCCGGGAAAGGGATGCGCTTCCCCTTTGGCCACAAGTTGGCTAAAACGCCCTATTCCTTAAAATGCCAAAAAGAATGAGCATTTCTACACACCGCCCGAGAAACACTTTTAAAGTATGTGGGACTCTAGGGACCTGGAAGAGCTGTGGGACAGGCGCGCGCTCAAGGTCGGGAAGAAGAAATTGCTTGGTGGATTTTCCCTGCCCAAACCTCTGGCGGCACGGGCGCTGCTAAGTATGGGGGCGAAGATAGGGGTAAAAAACAAACAAACAAAACAAAAAACAAATACGGGTACTTGGGAGCCACAGCTCAGAAAGGATTCTAGGGTGTGGAACCGAGATTTCTTGAGAGGAAGTGACCAGATAGGACGGAAGCGCTGCCCTGAGAAGGGATGGGAGTCGCCTTAATATTTGGAGTGAGGGTAGGGGGTCCCTGTGGGAGGTTAGTGACCAGGAGCGCGAGTCAGTCCCGGAGTGGACGTTTTTAAGCATCAGATTGTGGCTCTGCCTGGATCCCCGCGGAGCGGAAGGCCCAGACGCCCCTTACCTGCAGCCAATCGATCAGCCCAAGGAAAGGCAAAGGGTCCGGGTGGAGAGGCCGCGGAACCTGGACAACGGAGCTGGGGGCAGGTGGTTGAGAAGAGAGGGCCGAGGGGGTGTGCGATCCGAGCGGAGAAAACGTCTCCCACAGAATAAGGAAGCCGAGGGCCCGCGTTCCTACTGCGCCTTTAGGCGCGGGAATGCACTAACCCAGGCGCACGCCGGCCGCGGACAGATATATAGCCGGCGAGAGTTGGGGGAGGGCAGGGGCCAAGCCACGGGCCGCACAGGTTCCGCACGGCTTGAAGGGCTCACAGGTGGATTTTGTTTGTCTTCCAGGAGCTGATCTCCCAGGCCCGCCCGGCACCCGGGTCCCAGTCTTCCAGTGCGGGAGGGAACCGCGCCGCGCCCCGCGGTCTCCTGCCCGCCCTCCCCAGCCCGGGGACTCAGAGCACGTGAGACCCAGAGGCGAGCTCCCCCTCGTCCCCAATGTCCACCTCGTCCTCGGGCTCGGTTAGCACGAAGGGGCCGGCAGGCAAGCCCAGCCGAGCCTCAGCGGGTGCGGACTCTGGACCGCGGGGGCTACCCTCAGGGCTCTCGGGCCCATCCTGCCCTTTGGGTTCGTCTTGGCTTTTCCTCAGTTGCTTTTTATGCTTCATCCGCCGATTCTGGAACCACGTTTTCACCTAATTTCGAGGAGAAAAAAAGATGAAATTACGTCATTCCTCGTACCCTAGTTACTAATAAGAGTTGAGTGTGTGCCGGGGTTTGGGATATGGACCGTATTCCTTGGACACGTTATCCAAAAGCTGTGCTGGTCTCTCCCTGACAGATTACCTTCTCAGGTTGAGTGAAAATTAAACAAACTGAAGTCCCCAGAGGGAAGTAATTGTCCTGAAATAACGATGAGGGTCAAAATGTTGTGGTTAGTAAATACTAATACTGTTATTAATTAGAATTACTAAGTGCTGCATGGATGCGTCTCCTTTACATTTAATTTACATTCCTGTGGGTGTGAAATCTAAACACCCAGTCCAACAAGACACCAAACTTGCTCATTCTCATCAGAGAATCACGGGCCCTGGCCAGGCTAGCGATTCACAGGAAATTAGGTTTCCAGGTGGAGAGAGAAGTTAAAAGCAGCGGAAGAAGGAGTTTTGAGGTTGCAGGTGAATAGTATCTGGAAGATGAAAACAGTTCTTCCATCCAGGACTGAGCAATAGAGAGGAGGCTTAAATTACACCGGAGGGGAGGAGACAAGATTTGTGGCTGTGAGAGAGATTAAAATAGGAAGGAGAAAATCCCCTTGTGTGGGTTTCTCTTAGGAGCGCAACTAACTCTTGTCTTTTTACGCCTGACCGGGGTTACTGCCCTGATTCGAAGAGGAGTGAGGGAGACACAAAAGTGATAGTTCTCAAACAGAGTGATCTTCCCCCAGAATAACCCCACGAGTTTTTCCTTGGTGTGCAATCACATAGTGAGATTCTGCTTCATTAAGTCTGCCATTAGGTTGGAGGTGTTGGTACTTTTACTAAGGATCTTCAGAGAATCCTGGAATAAAGGAGAGCAGGATCATTCTCACTCAACTCTGCCTTGGGTCCTGAAGGTGTTAGGAGTTGAGGGGAGAGAAAAGCGACGTCAACGCAAGGCCGCCCTCGCCTCCTGCCCACCTGCGTCTCAGACAGGCTGAGAGCGGTAGCCAGCTCCACCCGCTCTGGCGTGGACAGATAGCGCTGGATCTCGAATCTTTTCTCCAGACCAGAGAGTTGGGAGTCGGAAAACACAGTGCGAGCTTTGCGGCGGCGGCAGTGCTTCCCTGGCAGCTCGGTGTGCTGGGGGTGCGGGAACAAGGCTGGGACTGGCACCCCTGCAGAGAGAAGAGCAGCCAAGTAGGCAGAGCCCGTCGCGCTGGCCCAATCTTCCCTTCCACTCCCCACCCCTAGTCCCTAGAACTTCTCCTTGCTACCATAATTCCCTGCTCCCCACCCAAAGCTTCTCAAAACCTAATCCCAGATTTAGAAGGGGGAGGGAGGAGATCGCAGGAATAACGCTTGGAGATCATTATCAGGAAAGCCATCTAGAAATACAAACAATGAAAAGTAAGTAAAATAGGAAAAGAAAATTATAAAATAGATCCAGAGACCGTAAAAATGTCATCTTGGAAAGACTTCCCGAAGCGTCTGCTGGCAGCGCACAGTGGGGTATTGTGCCCCCGGAAGTTTTCTTGGTCCAGCCGCTGTCTCCCCCACCCCCACCCCATTCTTTCAGACCCCAGACGACACTCAGCGTGAATATGACCTTGCCTCCCAACCTCACTAAAAACACCTCTTTTCAGAGCCGTGGCATTTTCCCGCCTGCCACCAAAGTGAACCTATCAAAAACCTCTTTATCCAAAGAGTCTCAGTAAGAATTGAACAGTTCCCGCCTCCCGCGTTTCCTTATCAGTTTTGGGGGTGCTTTGGGACCCAGCTCTCTGTTTCTCATTCTTCCCCTCTGACCACAAACAAAAGAATGGAAGAGCTCCCACTCCCTCCCTAGGAGAGATTTCTGTCTTTCCTGATCCTTTTGAACTTCTACTGCGTCTGAGACTCACGGAGCAGACAAACTGTCACAGACATCCATACTGGCAAATCCCAGAAAACAAAACCACCAAACTAGCAGTTTGGGTATCATGGGCTTGGGCACTGCTATTTGGGGGGGAACATGTATGCAGCCCAGAAAAACTGTCGCTAGCCAGGTAGTGAAGCTAATGCCTAGATATAGACATCGAAAACTAGACTTTCTAACAGACTTTCTCAGTCCCTGTTCAACCCTGTGTCCCAGAATCTGGGGTTGACTACTTCACACAATTTTAGTTTTTGCCCTGCAACCCTGTGTCCACATTTTACAAACTGCCACATGTTATTCCACAGCCCCAACTCCACCGGACTAGTTGGTCCTGTTGCATGCTCTGCATCTGGACTCCAGGAACTAATCATTCTGGATGGAATGAAAATACAAAAAGAAAAAAGAAAAAAAAAGCCTGACCATGACCTTTCAGAGAGTGGCAGAAAAAATTCGGTATTTTCCTATGTCTCCCTCAACCAGACTCTGCTGATTCCAGCTCCTTGTCATGCCTGGAAAATCAAAATACTCTGACAATGTTTTAACCTCACAAGCAAATTAGGTGAGAAGAGTAGTGGAGTCCAAGATTGCGGGTTAAATGCTAGATGTTGGGAGTAAAGAGGGTTAAAGAGGGCTACATTGCATCCCTCTCCTTTTTCCTTTACCCTTTCTCTCTCATCCAGTCCGGCTGAGATCTTCAGTCTTCAAAATATCCCAAACCCTGGTTAACTTCTAAACCCATGAAGCATTAATAAATGCTTGGTGGCAGGAGGAGAGAGCTGGCCCCACTGGAGCATTTTAAACTTTTGAGTTGGAAAGTTGTGTTCCAGTGCATACATGGGTTGGGGTGGTAAGGCTCTTTCTGTACAAGAAGAAGCTAGATAATCTCAACTGTGGGAGAGATCAAAGTGGCCAGGAATAGGGAGACTTAAATACTAGCCACCAAAAATACTGTGAAAACCTACAGCCCCTCTTGATTAGGCACATCTCCAACATAAGAAATGAAGAGTGACCATTGATTATCCTCAAGGGTTGACATGCCTGAAGGGAGCTCAGCTTGTTCTCAGCTACATCCCCTACCTTCCTCAGTCCTTTAGGAAAAGAGGCCACCAAGCCAGGTGGAGCCAGCTGTGGATTATCCAAGGCTTGGGGACTGTCCTGGTAGGCCTGCTCTCTCACTCCCCATTCCTTAAGGTCCCTCTTACTTACCTGAGGTGGTGAGGAAATAAGGGTGATGGTGGTCTCCCTTATGCAGAGGATGATGGGGGTGAGGAGCCAGGAGAGTGGGTGTGGGCATGAGGGGGTAGCCATAGTCTAGCAGAGGCACCCGGGATGCCAGAGAACTGGCAAAATGATCTGGGGCCACCTCCCTTAGCGGCTTCGGCTTGTGCAACAGGATGTCCTCGATGAAGAAGGATGTGGGCCTCTGAGAAGATGCTGGGTGTAGAGGAGAGGTGAAGTTGAGATTCATCTTGAGCCGAGCGCCTGCCCCAGGGCGAGGGCCGGGGACGAAGTATTTGAAGCAGGCAGCGTTTCAGCTAGCCTAGTCGACAGTCAACAACCACGCTCCGAGGCTCGGGTCCCGCTGCTCTCTCCTCCGCCAGGGCTGCCCCGGGCGCTGGAAAGGCAAGAACACCAGCTCCAGGGTAGGTTGGGTCTACGTGTTAGAGAACTGGCAGCTTGGAGAGGGGAGTCTGGAGAGCCAATGGCAAGGCTGCCAGCGTCAGAGGGGAGGGTGCGGTGGAGTTGGGGCGGGGCGGGGAGCTGTCCGCGGTGCTGAATACTACCGGCCAGGCCGGGGAAGAGCGGAGCAGACTAGGTCTTAGCTTCTACCAGGTTTCTCGTCCTCATTTACTGCTCTGCCTTTGCAGGAGCTGCTTTGCTCCCAGCCCATTTAAAAGTAAACTACAAGTAAAAAGTCTCTGTCATCTAACAAACTCCTCTTTAACGAGAAAAAGCATTTAAATGGCCCCAAATCAAGGAGGATAAGGCACTTATTCAAGCATCTAGGCCTGGGTTTTAAAACTTTAGAGAAATGATAGCAAACTGAGAAGGGGAGGTGTGAAGAGAAAGAGTTCAAATCTGCTAGATCTAGTTAAAATTTGTGAATGAGAGATGATTGGGTTGATCGGGTAAATACACAAAAGATTTGATAATGATCATATTCTTTACCTAAATTATAGTGGGGGGGGAAGGGTATAAGGAAAGTTATATCTATACCCATCAAGTAATTTGATTAGAGCTACTTTTTAATACCAGCCTCTACTTCTGCTCAAATTTTCATTACTACTTTCTCATTCCTCTCACATAATGTGCTATTTATGTTACACTAGCCCCTTTCAACCCTAGCCCCCAAAGTAAATGTACTCGGTTTTTGTTTCCCATCCCCTTTTCAGTCCCTTTTCACATATCTCCCCCCCCATCTTTTGGGGTTTTTTTATGTTTGTCTTTTTCTAATCTGTCACATTTATTTCCCTGGAGTAAATTTGCTAAAATTAAGGTGATCATCTACAGCACAGCAGGGGTAATTTCAGCTCGCATCTCCGAAAATTGCTCTAATTATTGATGTTAAACTCAGGGAAATTAAAAGAAGCCACTTCTCTTCCATCTCCCCATTTTTAAGCTCTAATTTGTTGAAATCTAGTCGTCATCACAATTCCAATCACTACAGCTAATAGTAAAAGTGTCTTAATAGAGACTGAGTCCTCACAACCCATGCTATTAGATAATTAGGGGAGATGTTAGAAAGCCAAGTGCTAATCCTTGGGCACACTGGTAGGATTTCCATCTGATCTAGCAGGTAGAACAAATTAATTACTAGAATCAATTAGGCCCCAAACTACAGTGCTCCAGAAAGCGGGAGCATCGTATTCCATAAGGATGAACTGCTAAATAGTAAATAGATGAGGAGAGTGAGAGGAAGGATGAAAAAAGGAGAAGATTACTTTAAAATACAATCTTGGAAAGTAGGCATTTAAAGAAAATCAAAATACTTCGACCTGGAGTATTTAAATGTGACATTTTAAAAATGTTTGTAAGGTAAAAACTGAAGACACATGGGCAGGCAGTCTGAGAGGGAAACAGATTCCCAGGCATCCTTTTTTAGTGCTGACTCTGTCATCTCCAACTGGGCCAGATAGAGCATAGAACTACAAGTACACAGTGAAAACGTAAGAGTATCCAGCAAATGCAAAAACAGCTATTGCATCTAACATAGACCCTATAATCTGAGTAGCAACTGGAGCATGGGCAGGTATATAGACATCCTCCTTGGTAAAGAACTGGCTCCACCTGTAAAAGCCCTATACTCCAGCCCTACACAGTTCTGTGCCCACCTTTGGAGTCAGATTTCAGCTTCACTTTAGGGCAAGGGACTAACTTCTGCCTCAGAAACCAAAACAAAGAGATCATGTAATGTCCCTTTGGGAGCAGAGGCACCAAAAGGTGTCTCTGGGTGACAGTTACCTTTGAGCCAGAACACTGCAAACTCTTACTCAGAACTTAACCTTGGACTTTCCTGTTTGTGGCAGCTGAGGAGGGAAGGGAACAGGTAAGATGCCAGCACCATCCTTAACCTCTCTTTTATTTAATATACCTCAGACTCAGCTGCACTCCCCTCAGCGTAAGGCTCTGCTCCTAGGCTCTACTCCTTGGCCAAAGTTGGTGGTGGCGGTGGGGGTGGGGTGATCGGATGGACTACCTTGGCGCCCCTTTCTCTAATTTTGCTAGATTCACTAGGGTTTCACCTTCCCTGCCAGAATGCCACGAGTAGGGAGACTTGAAAGCATTTCACATGGGAATCCTGCAACGCAGCCTTTCCTAGGCCCTAGTAGGACCGAAAGACTGGAAGTCTGTGAAAGGGGGCAGGAGCTTGAGGACTTCTGGCCTTTCGTTTTCTTTTCCCTTTTATCCTTTTCAACTACCCTAGGAAACAAAGCTTTGTGGCTGAGAGGATAGGACTGGCCGCTGACACCAAAGGCGGCCCCTGGGGGCGCTGGGGCGAGAACTGGGGCTCTGCAGTGGAGGACGAGACGGATTCCGCGGTGGTCACCGGTTCAGTGGCGACCCCGTTTTTCCAGGGTGTTCGAATAAATCACAGCCTGAGTTTGCCACGGAGAGGGCGTGGAGCTTCAGTCCAATGCCCAAATGAGCAGGCTGTGAAAACAGGTCTTGTCTTGGGAAAGTTCTTATCTGGTCCCTGCCTCAGTTTTCTCTTAGAGTCAGGGGCCAGATCCTCCAGGGAATCGCGTCCACAAACCTAGGGAGTTTCTCTCTGGTGACGGGGCTACTGAATAGAAGCTCTGGAAACGCTGGGGTTACAGATCCCAATCCCTACGTCCTCTGGGGTGGGCGCTGGCCTAACCCTTTTGTGGTCTGAGGTTGGGGGAAGCCCCCACCACACCAACACCCCCTTCAATATGTTCAGACCCCTCTGGAGATCACTTCTAATCTGTCCTATGGTAGAAGGAGGAAGCATTCCAGAGCACACATGCTTTCCTCACCCCTTCCCTCCTCCCACCAAACCTCAGATCAGTTTAGGTAAAAGGTAAATGTTATCTTTTTAGATAGCTTGTAAACAACTCTCCCATAAAAGAACAGAGGTTTCTTCTTCTGGATTATCTCTAAAGTCTAGACTTGTGCTATTCATTAAATTCAAGGTGATTAAATAGATGAGAAGAAATAGATCTATGAGCTATTAATGTATTAATAGCCACATTTAGCCACAATATAGCAAGAAATAAAATATGAATATAATATAGCAAGAGATATCAATATAAATATGAATGAGATTTTCTGCATTCTTTCTATACTAAACCTCCAAAGTTCAGTGTACAGTTTACACTTACTATACATTTCAACTCCGATTAACCATATTCCAAACATTCAATAGCTATATGTAGCTAGGGGTTGCCTACAGAACAGCACATGTCTAACCAATTGCTGTAACCCCTATGATTTCTCCCCCATCTAGGTAGATATACACAGAAAATGGAAAGCTGTCACTGATGCCAGCCTAGCACATTCTTGGTAATTGCCCTTCATCCATCCATTATATTCAAATATTGATCATCTGCTATATATGAGGCTATTCCCTACACACATTTCCAAACTTTTCCCAAACCTGAGGAGATTGAATTTACTTACATTGCATTTACATTTTTATTCTCATCTGACTGTCACACGGTTAGCAGGCAGTAGTTCTATGCCAAACTGACACAGAAAATCAGATCCTGCACACTGCTGGAGGGGGAAAAAGAAAAGAACAAGTGAACTACCCCCCTTCTTGTAAGACCTAATAGAATTCCTGCTTACAATTTAAGCTGAAGTATTACTAATTTAAAGAGAGAAAAGGCATGTTTTTCCAGGGAGCTAATAATTAAACAGCCCTTTCTCTTTCATGTCAGTCTCATCTAAAACTGCCATCTGATCTGGGACTTAGTTTCCCGAAAAGATAACTCTATTGATGATCAAAGGAAGAGACTGGTTCCATTAGCCAAGTTGCCTATACTGTGGCCTTCAAAATAAAGAGAGAAATGTATTTTAGAAGGATCTGAGTAACACACTTTACTCATAACATTTTGTATTATATTGCTTGTTGTCTGTTTCAACTTACCTTCTATTTGAGTACTTTATTTTAAGCACTACCAAAGTGGATGACATGTCTAGAAAAAGGACAGGAGTCACTGACTGCTCCCTGCAAATGCATCTTCAAATAATGCTTTTACACTGGAAATTAGGATGGGAAGTCATGTGAGAATGCATTTAAGGATAGGATATTCAAATTAGATTATTTCTCATGTAAGGAGGACTAGATATACTCAGCTTGCTCATACAGGAGTGGATCAGTCTATAGGATCAAAAACTTTCATTTCTCTCAAAGTTTTCTATGCTTTATATTTCTTTGGCTTCTCAAATCAACTGGTAGGAAGACCTAGAGCAAGGAATTAAGGATTTGAAATATGAGAGGTAATATATCATTTCTGAATTCTCTAAGAGGTATGTGGTAACATGAAAATGATCTTCAGGGCCCTCCCTGGTGGTACAGTGGGTTAAAGCACTATGGAGCTATCGCAGCCACTACAGCATGAGTTCATCCCCGGCCAGGGAGGTGACTCACAAGGCGTAGCAGACCTTTCCTCACCTTCCCATTGCCCCCTCAAGCAGCATACTTTGTCAATCTGCCTGCTCTGCTCCCCACTCTGTCTCTGGTGAATCCTCTCCTCTGGCCTGTACCCCAGTTCTATATGTTTCTTTAAAACAAAAGAAAATGGTCTTCAAATCACTTTCTGACTAGGATTCCAGCATTTTACTTAACCAATCCTAAAAGAGCTGCCAAATATACCACCAGGAAAAAATTAATAAGCTAAGAAAAACCTGCAATTTAAATATCCTTTTTTCCTGTTCTAAACCATCCAAATTGTATTGTCAGACATAAATCATAGCACCTACTAACATAATGTACTTTGAACA